TGTTTCTTTTATGTTACCTGACACTTGATGACTGTTTCTTTTATGTTACCTGACACTTGATGACTGTTTCTTTTATGTTACCTGAGACTTTTCCCCGTGTGGGTTCTAGGGCCCCATTGTGGGAAAGACTAGAATAGAACCACTGCCTCCACAACAAGCATGTCGTAGAAGTCGACTAACTGGGGCCTTTCTTTGAAGTTAAAGTGCATCTTCTGAGCGGCAAGGAGCAACCACCTGCACACAAATAAGCCAGTAAAACGGATGTACACACAAAACTCGGGCCAAAGTTCAGATGGACTAACTAACAACCAGGACTTTCCGCTGCAGCTTACAGCGGGTAAACAAAGATTTGACACTTTGATTTTTGTTGATGTTTTTTCTCCAAGTTCTTGTTAATAGTGCTTGGCATTTTTTTTTGGGGGGGGGGGGGGGGGGGGGGGGGGGAGGGGTCCTCTTTTTAATAACTTTTTGTTTAATTGGGGGGGAGGGGGGCAGCGTAAATATTCAAGAAGGTACCAGCTGAAAAAGGTTGAAAACCACTGTTCTGTACTAAGCAGTTATTGCTTCAATGTAATAGTGGTTGCATCTAAAGTTATTCACCTGATAACTCTGTTGATGAAAAGGTTTAGTAACACAATAAAGTAGGTTAGTGTAACAGTCAGATTAAATAGAGGGAGTTATGAAAAGCATGTTGTCTAAGGAGTTAATAATAAACGTATGAGTTGCTTGGTGCCGAAAGAGTTAAGAACGAATGAAGGGAAATACTCCCTGGGATACATTCTCAGAAAGAGACAAACAGAGAATCGCCGAACAGTCACTGAAAAGGGAAATAAGAGGGACTGAGGAAATGAGGTTATCCGAGAGAAATCCCAACGTGAACATTCATGAGAGAAGCTAAAGGTGCTAGACTCGATCTCATCCATGATATCAAAGTGATGATTGCACAGGCTAGGATGGATCAGAGAAACAGACTGCGAGCTCTATGTGTCATATCATATGGCATAATAGGACAATGAATGCATGGAAAAAATTCTTTTTTCTGTAGGAACATAGCCATTTCCTCTGAGGGAATGGGTTCGAGAAGTAACACATGGGTGATAGTAGCAAGTTCCTAGGGCAGCAAGAATTAGGAGTAAAAACTATCTTCTTCTTCTTGTTCAGCATTCAGAGCCCTTGATGTTCATTGCTGCAGATATCTGCCTCCATTCATCTCTCTGGTTGGCCGTCTCTTTCCAGTTGGTGACACCAAGTGTTTGCAAGTCTGTCTGAACATTATTTCTCCATCATCTTCTTGGTCTGCCTCGTGGTCTATGACCATTCATCTACCTCGTGTATAGTTTTTACTTCTCTGTCATCTAGCAAAAACTATAAATTACTGAATTTATGTGTCTCCCGGTGACCCACCGCTCCCTTAACATATCATAAAAGACAACTAATTAGGGCGTTCCCATAGAAGTGCATTTGCCTGAGAGGTGAGGATTCTACAGTGTGCATACAGGTGAGTTAGATCTGTAAATCAGAAGTGCATGCAAAATGAAAGCTCATGAAAAATATTGAAACTCAGAAGTGGATGAACAACCAGAACTCTTCACCAGAGTTTACAGCCAGTCAACACAAAAAAGAGTAGAAGCTGTAATAGTTGGGAAAGAAGTGATAACTAGCACTAATTAACTTAATGTAACTGCCAGGGTTGAAAAAAATATATAATATTCAGTGTGTTGATGTGAAAGCCGAAACAGAGATAAAAGTTATAGCTAAGGGAAATAACAGTATGACTTTGCACAAGAAATTCCTGAAATTTGTTTTTTTAAATACCCATGTTAAACTTTTTTTTTACTTCCTGAAACTACTGACAGTAAACCTTCCAAAACTCTATTAAGACGGTTTCAAGATTAACACATATGGTTAAAAAAAATATATTTGCTATTTTTCATTAGTGAACAAAATATTTCCTTGTCATGGATGTCTGGAGTGAGCATATCAAATTTCATTCATTACAATCATGTCTGTTAAGTTTCCAAAATATTAAAATCTATTCATATTCACAAATTCTGAACAGACCATATAATTGAATTAATCATTGTAACAGCTGCGACTGAAGCAAAAACTAGAACTGTGTGGGTTGACATAACAGTTTACACAGATATAACAATTACTAGGTGATTTTATATAATATTCACAATGAAGTAATAACTAGACTGGCATGAATTAATATAACAGCAGTTTTTAAAAAAAAAAAGTTATAATAATGTAAGTTAGGACATAAGTAATGGTTAGACCTGGGAAGATCAAAATAACAAGATAGAAGTTATGAATAGAAAGGAGGAGACCAATATAACAGGACAGAAGTAATGACTAGAATGGAATAGATCTGTATAACAGTTCATTCAGTCAATCAATGAATGGAGTAGATCAGAATAACAGTTCATTCAGTCAATCAATGAATGGAGTAGATCAGAATAACAGTTCATTCAGTCAATCAATGAATGGAGTAGATCAGAATAACAGTTCATTCAGTCAATCAATGAATGGAGTAGATCAGAATAACAGTTCATTCAGTCAATCAATGAATGGAGTAGATCAGAATAACAGTTCATTCAGTCAGTCAATGAATGGAGTAGATCAGAATAACAGTTCATTCAGTCAATCAATGAATGGAGTAGATCAGAAAAACAGTTCATTCAGTCAGTCAATGAATGGAGTAGATCAGAATAACAGTTCATTCAGTCAATCAATGAATGGAGTAGATCAGAAAAACAGTTCATTCAGTCAATCAATGAATGGAGTAGATCAGAATAACAGTTCATTCAGTCAATCAATGAATGGAGTAGATCCGAAAAACAGTTCATTCAGTCAATCAATGAATGGAGTAGATCAGAAAAACAGTTCATTCAGTCAATCAATGAATGGAGTAGATCAGTATAACAGTTCATTCAGTCAATCAATGAATGGAGTAGATCTGTAAAACAGTTCATTCAGTCAATCAATGAATGGAGTAGATCAGAATAACAGTTCATTCAGTCAATCAATGAATGGAGTAGATCAGAATAACAGTTCATTCAGTCAATCAATGAATGGAGTAGATCAGAATAACAGTTCATTCAGTCAATCAATGAATGGAGTAGATCAGAATAACAGTTCATTCAGTCAATCAATGAATGGAGTAGATCAGAATAACAGTTCATTCAGTCAATCAATGAATGGAGTAGATCAGAAAAACAGTTCATTCAGTCAATCAATGAATGGAGTAGATCAGAAAAACAGTTCATTCAGTCAATCAATGAATGGAGTAGATCAGAAAAACAGTTCATTCAGTCAATCAATGAATGGAGTAGATCAGAAAAACAGTTCATTCAGTCAATCAATGAATGGAGTAGATCAGAATAACAGTTCATTCAGTCAATCAATGAATGGAGTAGATCAGAATAACAGTTCATTCAGTCAATCAATGAATGGAGTAGATCAGAATAACAGTTCATTCAGTCAATCAATGAATGGAGTAGATCAGAATAACAGTTCATTCAGTCAATCAATGAATGGAGTAGATCAGAATAACAGTTCATTCAGTCAATCAATGAATGGAGTAGATCAGAATAACAGAATTTCATTCAGTCAATCAATGAATGGAGTAGATCAGAATAACAGTTCATTCAGTCAATCAATGAATGGAGTAGATCAGAAAAACAGTTCATTCAGTCAATCAATGAATGGAGTAGATCAGAAAAACAGTTCATTCAGTCAATCAATGAATGGAGTAGATCAGAATAACAGTTCATTCAGTCAATCAATGAATGGAGTAGATCAGAAAAACAGTTCATTCAGTCAATCAATGAATGGAGTAGATCAGAATAACAGTTCATTCAGTCAATCAATGAATGGAGTAGATCAGAATAACAGTTCATTCAGTCAGTCAATGAATGGAGTAGATCAGAATAACAGTTCATTCAGTCAGTCAATGAATGGAGTAGATCAGAATAACAGTTCATTCAGTCAGTCAATGAATGGAGTAGATCAGAATAACAGTTCATTCAGTCAATCAATGAATGGAGCAGATCAGAATAACAGTTCATTCAGTCAATCAATGAATGGAGTAGATCAGAATAACAGTTCATTCAGTCAATCAATGAATGGAGTAGATCAGAATAACAGTTCATTCAGTCAATCAATGAATGGAGTAGATCAGAATAACAGTTCATTCAGTCAATCAATGAATGGAGTAGATCAGAATAACAGTTCATTCAGTCAGCAGGTTCTTTACAGAACATTGCTCTTTTCAATGGCTTCATTGGAGGACAGAAGGAGGGTTACACATTTTTGCTTTTTCGTCCACTTCTGGATGTTGGCCATTTTATAGGTGTGCACATCCGTTCTACAGATTTGACTAAATTGTATGCATACTGTTGGTTCCGCATCTCAGAAAAAAGCCCTCCAGTTTCAGAGTAAACACCCCAAATGGTCTTTTGCGACACACTTTTTGGGAGAGGGGCATTAGATCCCTGACTAATAAATGCAAAACAAAACAATGTCATTTTTTTTCTGTGAACCATTTTTTTTAATTATATCACTATAAATCACGTGACATTAACAGTAAAACAATTTGTAGCTTCATTCACAAATGAGCAACATCAAAATTCTGTGTAACATACAACATGAAAGGCAACAGATAATGTATGAAATAAATGACTTGCATACCGAATGAAAGCATCACATTTTCATTGAGCTCCTTCTAATAATTCATAGCACAAGTCATTGGACATAATTTCTGTTCAGATTTGTCTCATACTTTACCAGTAATATCTGATAACAGATGTTTCTCCATGCTATGATAACAAGCTGTCTAACAATTTTATGAATTCCTGTGCGAGTCCAGGATCACATTGTGGGTAAAACAAGAATAGATCTACTGCCTCCCCAACAAGTATGTCACAGGAGTTGACTGAAACAAGCATGTCACAGGAGTTGACTGAAACAAGCATGTCACAGGAGTTACTGAAACAAGCATGTCACAGGAGTTGACTGAAACAAGCATGTCACAGGAGTTGACTGAAACAAGCATGTCACAGGAGTTGACTGAAACAAGCATGTCACAGGAGTTGACTGAAACAAGCATGTCACAGGAGTTGACTGAAACAAGCATGTCACAGGAGTTGACTGAAACAAGCATGTCACAGGAGTTGACTGAAACAAGCATGTCACAGGAGTTGACTGAAACAAGCATGTCACAGGAGTTGACTGAAACAAGCATGTCACAGGAGTTGACTGAAACAAGCATGTCACAGGAGTTGACTGAAACAAGTATGTCACAGGAGTTGACTGAAACAAGCATGTCACAGGAGTTGACTGAAACAAGTATGTCACAGGAGTTGACTGAAACAAGTATGTCACAGGAGTTGACTGAAACAAGCATGTCACAGGAGTTGACTGAAACAAGTATGTCACAGGAGTTGACTGAAACAAGCATGTCACAGGAGTTGACTGAAACAAGCATGTCACAGGAGTTGACTGTGGGCATCCTTTAAAGTCAGAGTACAGCTGCCTGAGAGGCAAGAAACCAAGAGTCTGCATACAAAAAAGTCAGATGTGTGAACGAGATGTGCACAAAACACTCAGGTTCTGGATGTCTGGAGGTGGACAAGCACACAGAACTTACGGCCGGTGAATGCGAGAAAAAACATTTTGATGAAAAACAGGAGTGAATGTAGTCACGCTAGTATCAAGAAATTAATCTGCTGAACTGCAGCTAAGAAGCTCAACAAAGAGAAGGAAAACCACACAGGAAAAGTTAAATGTTTCAGTATGAGCCATTATCAACAAAAATCACAAGGAAAGAGTAACCTGGCCACCAGTACCCATACAGGGGTCATGTAAGTAACTATAAAATATGGGAAGAGGAAAAGATGATGCAAAACAATTCAAATAAATAAATGAAATGAAATAATAAAATAGAAGTAATGAACTTAGAAGTAACTAAAATAAATGCAACCTTTGTTTGACTGATTTGGCATCTTCTTCTTTTTTTTCTTTCCTGTATTTTAGTTTTGTATGTGACTATTGTGTGGGTACTGGTGGCCATGATACACTCCCTTTTATGGTTTCTGTCAATAAAGGCTTGTTTCTAAAACATTTGATTGCCCTGTGTGCGTCTGACATTTTACTAACAGTTCCCCTCCTCCACCCCCCCCCCCCTTTTCCAAGCTGCTTATTCAAAGATCTGTAAGAGTCACATCCACGACAGCAGTAATAAACAAGGACAAGTCCTACACACTCGTTCCACTTCTTAAGAAGGCACCTGTAGCAGTTACATTAAGTACTACCATGTTTTCCTAATCCACTTAGGGTTCAAAGTGAGAAGAGTCCAACATTTTCTCTCCTAATATCCCCCATTGTCTTTAATTCCCTCCAGCTCTTTCTCTAGCCAGTTTTCAAAACCCTATGTACTTTCACAGTCAATGCATCTTGAATGTTTCATATCCACCTTTATGGAGATCCGTCTCGTTTTTGGGAAACCACCCATTCTCTTCAGGCCATCATGAGGTTTAACATGGCCAAAATACCCCAGCTTTCAGGACAGGGTGTTGTTAAGGAGCCAATTCTCCTTGATTTGTGTTTTTATCGAGTCCCTTAACAAACATGAAAAATACAAACAGCAAATCAACTGAAAAAAACCATGGTGAATCAGTTTAACCCATAGAGAAAAATAAAACAAAAAGTTCAAAATAGTGCAAAATCTGCCTTTTAATTTCAACTTACATTGCAAGGGATATGCTATCATGACAATATGTATTCAGACCAATGGAAATTTTCCTGTCCGTTTAATTAACAACTGCAATGCTGTTCTTTTTCTCTTCATTCTTCCCTCAATAGCACACACAAACAAAAATTAGGAAATATTTACAAACACAAGGATAAGCAAGTTCCAAAAGTGTGGACAAGAATACCACGTCACAACACCATATTCAACATCAACTCCAGGCTACAACACAAGATGACAGCCAGGCTCACAAACATGCCTATATTAGTTAAACCACAAAATGAACAATTAAAGGCTCAAATGTTGAGACCAGTGTTTCGCCAAGTGGACCTCTTGGTATTATCAAAGTTTGCAAAGCAAATGAGAATGTTCTACATAGAAAAAAATAATCTGGAGATTAGAACCGTTTCACGCACTCATCAATCTCCGCAATGTTGTCCTTTAGGGCCTGCCACTGCTCTGCACTTAAACTGATACCTGTGAGCAAAACACAACAGCAATTCTTAAGCAGAAACAAATTAATTAACAATAAGGACAGTACAATTATAAGCCTACTGATGAAATCACTCAAACATGCTGCTTCAGGGTCCCTTTTATTCTGTATGCCATGATGAGAAAATATAATGAATATACACAAAGCAACGGGAAGACTGCCAAAAATGGAACAACTGAATCATGAATAGCCTAACAAAAATGAAGATCAAGTTATACAATTCATTAAAAGTAACACAGTCAAGATCATTACTTCATTCCCCAACACTTCAATGAAGTGAAGAAGATAAAGACTATCGCTCGATTTAACCTATTTTGTTCATGCCTCATTAAGAGTTGCTCACTTCGGTCAATAAACTTATGAGTCTTATTTATAGACACTTGCAACTTTACAGAATCATTTAAATGAAATGTTTACCTACTGTGCTAGGTGTAACAAGGAAAGATCGACTCAAGAACGATGATATCAGGAGGAGAGTCGGCACAAAACCAATAATGAACTTTAAAGGTAGACAACAAAAATGGTTGGTTCAAGTAACATGATTGCCATCAGACAGGCACCACAGAGAGCAATGTTATACAGATACAGCTGTAACAGATCCAGAGGTCAACGACGCAAATTATGGGCCGCAGAAATACCAGAGAAACTTCTTCTTTCTTCTTTTTCTGCGTTCGACATCAGTCATGCTAAACATTGAGTCCCGTCTGGGTCACAAATAGGATTGTGCGTTTAAGGTCGCCACCTGTCCCCCATAGCTTCTCTTGCAATGTGGCTCCCTTGGTCCAGATCCAGTCTTTGCTGGGAGACGTTAGGGCAGTACTGTATTATGTGCCCAGGGGTCTGTCTTTCTGCTCCACAATCACAGGCAGCAGATTCTTTTATGCCTATCCTGTACAGGTGTGCTTGAAGACCACAGTGTCCAGTCCGAAGTCTAAAAATTGATGTCTGTTCTTGTTTATGCTGTTACTCTCTGGTCTGTAATCTCCATTCTGCCTTTTCCACTCCCGCTTGAAAGACTGCTGTAGCGCTGTTTTGGTTTCCTTATAGCTGTGTGGTGGATGAGGTTGTGGAAGATTACTCCCAGCTTGCCAACTCATCTGCTCTCTCATTTCCTTGAATACCACAGTGGGCTGGTATCTACTGCAAGACCAGTTCTGCTTCCTTGGAGAGTAAGCTAATGTTGGTCCTTAGATCAGCAATTAGTTTGTCTTGTTTTTTGCTGGATAGAGCTTGGAGAACAGACAATGAGTCACTAAGTATAACAATTTGGTGCCCTCTGTGTTCTTGAGTGATGAGATGTTGGAATGCAGAAAGGAGGGCAGTTGCCTCAGCTCTGAAGTTAGTGCAGATGTCACCTGCGGGTAGAGAGAAAGTTTCTGCTCTACTGCTAAGGGATTTAATGTAAATTCAACAACTCCCCTTTCTGACTGCATTCCACAACTCCCCTTTCTGACTGCATCTGTAGCAGAGCCGTCAGTGAAAACCTGAGTCCAAGTGGTGTTTGGATACTTCTCATCAAGCACAGCAAGAGCCAGGGTTCTCTGTTGTGTCTCCGTCTGGGCATCTGTTGAAGTGATTCCTGGTACCTTCAGGATTACATTTGTTTTCTCTAGCTTGCTTGCCCATGGTTCTGGCCTAAGCTTTTTGCACAGTGCAACATCTCTTTCAAGCAGATCTTGGTGCTGTCTGTACAGTTCTCTGACAAGGTGGTTGTGGCTCTGACGCTTCTCTCTTGAAATTTAAAATGCAGTGGGTGACTTTGAAGTCTTTTTAATTTCTCATATTGTAAAAGAGTTTTGTATTGTCTTCTGAGTTCGAGTGGTTCAGTATCTGCTATCTTTTCTATTTCTCTCATGGTGGTTGTTTTCATGGCTCCGAGAACAATCCTTAATCCCATATTCTGAACCTTGTCCAGTTTTCCCATTGTTGTCTTGGCCGCTGCAGCCCATGCAGTGGAGTGGAGGCATATTCCATGACTGGCCTGACTGCTCCAGTATATACTTGTTTTAGGGTTCTAGAGTTAGCACCCCATGTGGTACCCACTAATTTTTTCATCACTGCAAGCTTCTTGAATGCTTTCACCTGTACTGCTTCTACATGTGACTTCCAAGTTAGTCGCGAATCAAGTGTAACGCCCAGAAAGGTAGGAATGAGTCTGTGGAATGAGCTGGTTTTTAATCAAAATTTTGATTTTTTCTTTTTTGGGGGAGAGAGAGAAAAGTGATGCTGTGCTTTTTGAATTATTTAGCTTTAGACCCCACTTTTCGGTCCAGGCTTCTATATTTTACCAGAGAAACTGAAAAGTACTTTTTGCAAAGTGAGCAGAAGGGTCCATTCCAGAGATCTCTTTCTGCCCTGATGCAGCAAGGTGTTCCAGGAGGAGAAAAGAGCTTAACAGCTTCTCACTTCTGTCAATAAACATATTAGTCTATTTATAGAAACTTGCATTTCATATTAGGCCAGTGTTTGTTTTGTAAAATCTCTAAGCTTGTGTGTACATTCATTTCGAGAGAAGAGGCATTACTTATATATTTTTTCTCATGTCAAAATCTGTTTGTAATTTAAAGATAGGCTGTTGACTTTGCTATTCCATGACTTCTGCCAATCAATATACCGTTCCTAAACTTTTGCATAAGTATGAAATACATGGTAATTAGGGAACTGCAGTTCCAACTTCCAGCAAACAGGTCATCGCAAAAAAGCTCAGTTCCTCTGCCAAAGAAAACTGCAAAGAATGTCCATCACGGACTTGTGAAAAACTGACTCAGACTGCAGGCTTAGCAAATCAACAGCATACACGCTCAATAAATGCATAAGGCAGCCGCCAGAAGTGCCACACACAACAGTCCGACACTAGAATCCGACACTAGAATCCTGTCGATGGAAGCAGCAGTTACAACAGATCACGTCTATAGCTAAACAACATGAGACTCTCACACTTTACATTTTTGAGGGTGGTGACAGGCAGAAAAGGTGAGGCTGTTGAACCTGGGGATTTAGGTCAGCGTGGCTACTGCAGTCGTCGAGAACTGTACAGGTTAGGATTTTAGTTTTCTACCCCGACTGACAAAATCCAACACCTTACAGAGGATTTGAAAATGGGTCTCCTGAATGGCAGGCATGCATTCTTCACCGCTCAGTCAGCAAAAAAATGAGTAAATCAAGAAACAACTGACAGTAGAAACTGTCAGGCTTGCCTAAGGCACAAAAGCAATACAAACATTTATAAGTCTTTGAACAGAATGAACAAGTGTAGAGATTCCCCCTCCCTAAAA